AAATGGAAGGAGGCTATGGATGAAGAGATCGAGTCACTTCATAAGAACCAGACTTGGGAGTTGGTGCAACTTCCAAAAGGCAAGAAAGCAATTGAGGGTAAGTGGGTTTACACCATGAAAGAAGGCATCCCAGGCAAAGACAACATCAGATTCAAAGCTAGATTGGTAGCTAAAGGCTATGCTCAGAAGGAAGGAATAGACTACAATGAGGTATTCCAACCTGTTGTAAAGCACACATTTATTCGTATCTTGTTAGCTTTGGTTGCACAGTTTGATCTCAAGCTTGCCCAACTCGATGTCAAAATTGCTTTTTTACATGGAGATCTTGAAGAGGAGATATACATGTCCCAGCCAGATGGTTTCAAAGTTGCTGGAAAAGAGAATTGGGCCTGTAAGCTGAACAAATCGTTGTACGGATTGAAGCAATCCCCGAGACAGTGGTAGTAGCGATTTGATCGGTTCATGATAGAGAAAGAATACACAGAAGTCAATTTGATCATTGTGTATATTTCCGTAAACTTCCAGATGGTTCTTTCATCTATTTGCTCTTATATGTTGATGATATGTTGATTGCATCTAAGAGCAAGGTGGAGATTGACAAACTCAAGGCACAGTTAGCAAGAGAGTTTGAAATGAAGGATTTGGGAGAAGCAAAGAAAATTCTTGGCATGGAGATAAAGAGAGACAGAAAGAAGGGCACGGTTTGTCTGACACAAACCCAGTATCTAAAAAAGGTGTTAGACAGATTTGGCATAAATGGGAAAACCAAAGCTGTGAGTACACCATTGGCCCCTCATTTCAAGCTTAGTGCTTCGATGTCTCCGCGCACAGAAGAAGAACGAAAGCATATGGCACAGGTTCCATATGCAAATGCAGTTGGTGCATTAATGTATGCTATGGTTTGTACAAGGCCTGACATCTCACATGCTGTGAGTATGGTAAGCAGGTATATGCATGATCCAGGAAAAGATCACTGGCAGGCAGTGAAATGGATCCTAAGGTACATACATGGCACGGTCAATCTGGGATTGAAGTTCGAGAGAGATAACCGACTCGGACAGAATCTGGTTGGATATGTGGACTTAGATTATGCTGGTGACTTGGACAAACGCCGATCACCAACAGGGTATTTATTTACGCTTGTTAAAAGGTCGGTGAGTTGGAGGTCAACGCTTCAGTCAACGGTGGCTTTGTCTACTACAGAGGCAGAGTACATGGCAGTGACAGAAGCCTTTAAGGAAGCTATTTGGCTACACGGGTTAATTAAGGACTTGGGTATTCTTCAGAAACACGTTGAGTTGTTCTGTGACAGTCAGAGTGCCATTTGTTTGGCAAAGAATCAGGTTCATCATTCCCGCACCAAGCACATTGATGTCCGGTTTCATTTCATCCGAGAAATTATGAATGAAGGGGATATTCTGCTTCAAAAGATTAGTACTGCAGATAATCCGGCCGATATGCTCACAAAAGTGGTTTCTGGGATCAAGTTCCAACATTGTTTGGACTTGGTCAACATCTCTTGGAACTAAGCACCTTCAGGTGCAAGGCAGTGTTAATCGATCACTATGGACAAAGGGCAAAGGCATGATAGTCAAGGGCATCCTAGCAGGCGGTGCAGGTCATCCAATCAGGGGGTGTATGATATCTCAATTACACAAGTTTAAGCATAGCAGGTGAAGACATCCGAGACAGGAAGCGTGGAAGAGATCTGTGGGAGATAGGAGCAGAGGCTCTCTCCAAATCAGAGAGTGGTGTGAGTTGAGTTGAAGATGTAGGATTCCCTCCTCCTCTTGTATCTCTGGTGTATTATCTCTAGCTTCAGGAGATGCGGACTATGTTGAATTTTGGGCTTGACAAGATTAGCAGCAGTGTGTGCAATAGATCACCTCACATGGGTTGAGGGGGTGATTTGTTGATATCACCCCATGTGAAAGGGGTGATTTTCTTCAAGTGTGAAAGCATCGATTACGGTTGCCAACCGACAAGCCGCCAAGGTTGAAGACGGCCACCGAAAGGAGAAGAAATGAGCTGGCCATGTGCAAGGCCAGCCTCTCCACCTTCATCTGTAATGTGTATATATAGAGAGGGTGAGAGCAGAGTTTAATGTGGTGAGCTCAAGAGTGATTACAGAGAGAGAATACAGAGTGAATTGTAATTCCATTTCTCCATATAGTGAATCCGCTGCCCGTGGACGTAGGCGACTTGCCGAACCGCGTTAAATCTCTTGTGTTATTGCTTGTGTGTGTTTTCTGGTGTGCCCCCGATCCACAACAAATAAAAGACACTGGCTAGGAGGTCTTTGCTCACAAACTAGAAGAGGCAGATCTTTCTCTCTTGGACTCGACTGACTCCCCTGTTCTTTCTTTAGTGACTGGCTAATTAAAAATTATATTATTTAAATAGTTGAGTTATGATGCGGTTATGAAGGAATATGGTATGTATGTATAATTGAATATAACTAAAATTATGGGCCAATATGATAATGGTTATGACCTAAATATTATGAGTTATGTTATAAAAGTATATAAGCTCATAACTAGATGTTTAGTACAGCCGCAAGTACCATAACTCAAAATTTTGACTCACTTTTTTTTTTTTTTTTTTTTTTTATCAACCAAGATAATCCTTTATTGATATAAAATTAAGGATAAATTATACATTGAGTATCAATAAAGAAAAGACAAAAGAAAAGGAATCGTGCTATAAGTATCATAGCAAAGAACTTTAATCTCAACTAAGTTGGTATCAAAGGCTAAGTCCAATCATTTGCAGCACTATCAAACAGAAATACTTAAAGAGTAATCAACCAAAACAACCAAATCAGAGACTCCTAACATACTCAAAACAGGGGTGAGCCCGACCAGATACAAGGCACTAACCACCTCTGATGGACCTAAATCTGAAAACTAAATCATTAACAAAGTAGTTGAAGTTCAGAACTTTATATTTTGTCCAAAGAGCCAGCCTCACTTTAATTGGCCCCTACAAATCCTCCCTAGAAACAGTAGAGCCTTGGAACTTGCGTTCATTCCTTGCCTTCCACAATGACCACATTATGGCACATGGAAATGACTTCCAAAGTTTGTCTTCCACGTTTTTGAACTTGAATCCTTTCCACCACTGCAGCAGCCCCTCAATGGAATCTAGAACAACCCATTGCACTCCCCACCATGATAGAAAATTAGCCCAGATTTTCCACACAAATTGAAAATGAAGCGTTACATGTAACACATTTTCTTCATGAGCCTCACAGTATAGACAAAGAGAACTAGCATTAGCATTAAGAGCACCAGCACTTTGTAAAAAAGACGATGTCTCAGTCGACCTCTCCAAACCAACCAACCAATGTGACAGTCTATTAGAATATCCAATGCAACTCTCTTCCTCTCTCATATATCCTCTAATTATTAATCAATCATGCCTTTTACATATCACTGGGTCTAAAGAGTAGGCTTCTATGTCATTTTCATGCACAATCCCAAGATCTTTTTGGGCCATAAGTTGGTTTGTATATGTGCAAAGCTAACAATACTTTGATTTTATAGATCCCACCACCAATTCAAGTCATAACCAACACCACTTTAAGACATAACTTGCATATGATAGACGTCATTATAACAAATTAAGGTTTTAAAGATAAAAATATAGGGATCAAATCATTTTTTAGATACAAAATATTTTAGTTACCAAAAGTGTCATTGTTATATTTTTAGTAGCGGAATTGAACATTTAATGATGAACTCTATCATTTGGGAACTAAATTTTTTGTCTTAAAAAATAAACCTTTTAGGTAACCAAACTAGTTTGTCCCCCAAAAGTGAATTTATTATCGACATTTTCAAAATTTTGTCAATAAAGCCATTTTTTAAACTTTTTGAGACGATCTTTTAGCGACTATCCTTATGATAATAGAATTAGTCTCCATTTTTTTTTAATAATAAAATTTTCACTTTAAGAAACATAAATTGATTGTTAAAACTCTTATATATTGTAGTGGCCTTTTATACTAGGCCTTTTATGGAACTATATGAAAAAGCTAACAATTGGTTTAAAGATGTCTTGAATATGATTAGATATTAAGTGCGACAGTGATACCACAAGATATTGGTCATATTGCATTATTTTTATTCAATTATTTTTCTCATCCATCTTTGTAGCATAGAAGATAGAACCATACCATGCATCAAGACCTGTAAGTATGGCCCAATGACGATGATATCAGTCCAATGAGTCTATTGACGGGTTTATGGGCACCAATAATCTTGTTTTATCTTGGAGGTCCAGGTACCATGACCGTCTTACACTTGGAAGAAAATCGAATGTGGTTGAGGCGCGCTATAGGACTATTTACACAAGGTCTAAGAACAAGTTACATCCTAATTCTAACTTGGACTTCTACCTTGAGGTTCTCTCTTTTGGCCTTGTTAATGCTCTTTCCTGGACTTATCAAGTATGGAGAGAGAGTGTGGATAATCAAGTCAATATCCAAGAACAAGCATGTGGGTTTTGTTCGAATTGATGAAAACACAATTGGCAAAATAAGTAGTGCACAACCTAATGCGGAGCTAGTGCTGCAAGCCTTACCTTAAATCCTCATATTTCCAATTACGAGTGTGATAGGTCCAAAGTGAACAAATGACTGCTGGAAAATTAATTTTTAGTGGCGTTTTTGAAATGCCGCTATAGCCTTAAAAAACACCGCAATAGGTTTTTACGACGTTTAAAATTTTCGTCATAGATACAGCCGCCACAATAGCTTAGCAACGTTTCAAAAACGTCGCTAAAAACATTAGGCGGCATTTTTAAAAACATCACAAAATCTTCAACAACCACTACATAATGATGACATCATTTAGTAGCATTTTTCCAAACCCCACATCTCTTCATTTTCATATTTGCCTCGCATGTTTAGTGACTTTTGTTTTCCAAAAAAACATCATTTTTTTTTTTATTTTTAATAACACAGTCCAATTAATTGAGAATTTAACTAGGAACAAAGATGGAAAATTTAACTAGAGAGATAAAGAATTAACTGAGAATTCATATAAAAGAACACATATTAGCTCAAATTTGAACTTGCACATGACTGAAATGAAAAGGAAAAAAAAGAAGAAACAAACAAAAGGAAACGGCAAGCCTATGGTTTAAGTTCAGATGGCAAAGGGACCGGAGAGAAGTTTACAGGGACAACTGATTCGCAAATGATCTCTGATTTGGGATAAGAGTTCCCTGAAACTGATCATCTCTCAAACAACCACTGCAGTCATTTTGCAAATGGGACAGTTATTCTTCTGCACGAGCCATTGTTTGATGCAATTGAAGCGAAACTCATGCCCACAATTTAGCTTACCAAGCTCCTTTCCATCAACATAATCCTCCTGCAATTTGATTCAATAAATGGAAGCATCCAGTTTAAGAGGGAGCTTTAACTTGAGAAAAAATAGAACCCATGAATTGGTAACTCCCTTCCTCCCAACTGCCAGAACTGAGTGTGGGGAGAGATGGTGAGTTGAATGGAGTTTGGTAATAAATACACTTAAAAAGTATAATATTTGTGGGAAAAAAAAAATCTTCAAAAATTTCACTAAATACTAAAAATACAATACTATAAAAATTCAATACATTTACGTATTATTGTGTATTTATTGATTTTTAAAATAATTTTTCACAAGTATTTTACTTTTTAGATGTATCTACGTTAGGTACATCTAGAAAGTAAAAAATTTGCTTAAAATATTAAAAAAATTCACTAAAAACAAAAAAATAAAAAACTCAATTTTTAGAAAATCAATTAAAACCAAACAAGGTGATTAATTTTTTCAAATTTTTTTTTTCTTCTTTTTAGATCCCTCTAGACTAGTCAGACATAAAAATAAATTTTTTTTACACGAATCTAAAAAAAATTCACTAAAGCCAAAAAAATTGGGATAATAGGTGACTTTTTTAGCCGATCCCAAATAGATAAGTTGCAAGACAAAGAATTTAAGTATCACTTACCTGACAAATACAGCACGGTTCCTCTTCCACTGGAAGTCCTAATTTCATTGACAGATAACAATGCCGCCTCACAGTTGCCAAAATAGCTTCCTCACTCAATCCAGTGCTCACATTTCCAATTTGATCCTCCAGGGCCAACAACTCCTACCAAAGTCAATCATTTATGAGCCAAACTTCAATAATGGCAAGGGCAAAAAAAGAGCCATGTAAATGATTATTTCAATTTATTAGTGTTACCTCTTAAGACATCGTCTACATCAAGACGCATATTTTCATGCACATCAGGCTCCTCATAAAACAAAGGTTGTTCATGAAAAATAATCCCATCCTGGCACACCACCATGAGTGCAAGTCGTAAAAAAATTACTGCTAACTAATAACTATATGGAGAACATGGACACGAAAACTCCAAGTTTCTGTCCATTTCCAAAAGCAAACACAAACTTGATAATCAAAGCATAAAATAAACCAAGCAAAAGATCTAACCTCAATGTAGGACTTGCAAGGCACGCCAAATCTGCTTATGGCAAAAAGAAAGATATTTAGAGATTTGATTGGGTAAAGAGAAAAAAATGTTAGAAGGGAAAAGCAAAACATTAAGAAAGAAGATGAAGGTTAATTAATGGTATACACACTGCTACATCTTCAAAGGTACACAAGTTAAGTACCCAAGCTCAAATAAGTGCAAAATAAAACATGGACACGGGGGGAAGAGAGCAAAATTCAAGAGGACCCACATTCCCAAAACCTGCTTTTAAAAATAAAAAATAAAAACACACACGGGCGCGCTCTCTCGGTTTTCATGTATTTTTGAACATAGGTCCCCTGATTAACCAAAACAATTAGAAAACATAGTTTACTAGTTCTATTGAGCATGGTTACATTGGATATGCCTAAACCAAAACCATGACTATTTATCCATAAAAGAAGGGAATCAAAGAAGACTCACCAGAGTGGAAATCAGGTGTCTGAACGAAACTAACAGATTTGAAAGAAACTTGGCAGTGTCAGAAAGCATAACAGCACAAAGGCAGCAGGGTTCTGCCCTAACTTCTTCACCTGCTGGCAGATGTTGTCAGGGACATCAGATTTCTCATCCTGTGCTGCCATTGCACAAGGGGCCAATTTCAAAGCCTCCATTTCTGGAGTGACTTCCCACATGCCCCGACCCCATTTTCCCTTTCAAGCCTGCCAACGGCGATGACCACAAGGTCTTTCAATCATTTTGAATAATTTGAGAATTCAGAGAAAATTGCAGAATTATTGTTAATATTCGAGATCAGTTTATATGAAAGGCATTCTTCTCAAATGAGCATCAACTATGACAAAGTCTGTAGATAATCAACAGATGAAGAAATGAAGAAACAAAAATATGGCATTCAGTCTTTTTCAGATGCTACAATGGAGGATTCTAAGGGATTGAAGTGCATAAGTCATCATTAAGATAAAACTCAAGCAAAAACAAGTAAATAAATGACTATAATACACCCACAATACATGGTTTCAATCTCTCATATTGGTTTCCTATAACCAAAATTGCAAAATAAACAGAAATCAAACAAAATTCAATATGTAATTCACTACACACATCCACAATCCAAGAAAAACAAAATAAATACCAATTAAAGTAGATCTTAATTAGCACAATCTATCCCAACTCAAGTATAAGATTCTTGAAACTAAAGATTTTACAATCACAATTAAAATAGATTGGAAAATCAAAGAAACACAATAAATTAAATCACTAATGTGTCCACAATTCAAGAGAAAGGGAAATAAGGAATGAGTTTACACATACTGTGTCACTTTTTAGAGGCAATGCAGCTTTGCCTTTTTTGGTCTTAGTTGGGGTAACAACAACACCACTTTCCACAACACCCTCTTGGAGTTGTTCAGTTTCTTCTGCAAGCTCTGCTTCAGCAACCAAAGCGGCCACAACAAGAAACATCAATCCAATTGTTGGATTTTCTGTGGTTCTATTTTGATACTAAACAAATGTAGATACCACTGCAACAGACCTGAAATATTTGAAAGCACCAGGTCCAGGATTAAATTAAAATTCTTTTTATCACTTATTAAATACAAGGGTTGTTGCTAAATTTAGAATTCAGAAATCATTCCAAGAAAAGCGATACAGGTCTTTCACCAAACCCACAAGATTCAAAACATATGAATTAACAATCAAACTAAAAATTAAATTTGGTTAACAAGATACAAGGTGTCATGCTAGTCCCTCTAAATCCCACTTTATCAAAATAACAAGTACTAATTCATCAAAGAAGATTCCAACAAACTTGAGTCCAATATAAGTAGAAAACAGGAAAAACACCATCACAACTATAATTAAGCTGTATAAAATAACTGTAGTGGCACCGATACGACTTGGACCCTTCTTCTTCTTGCTTTGTTGTAGCAGAGCTTGAGGTGTAATCCTTGCCATGATGTGTAAGCCTCAACTCCCAAGGACTACAAAATCCCAGGATCCAGCACCCAATTCCAAATCTCTATAACCAATTACCATTTAAAGGAATTTCATAACATATAAATCAAACAGCCAGGTTTTGGATCCAATCTGTACTTTCAAAGAACTTCATAGGTATCTTTGAATAAGAAACACACACAATAACCAGAATTCAAGAGGATCAAAAGACATAGATAAGTGAGAAAAATATAAACTTGGGATTTTTTTTGAAGCTTGATCTACAACCTCATACTAACAATCGATTAGACAGCTATGAAATAACAAAGAAAATTACATAGAAAAGTAAACAAAAACACTGCTTGGTTACTAAGAAAAAATTGAAGTTTCAATTGTTAAAGATCTCAACATAATTCAATCGACTCAGTACTTGACACACAACAATGAACAAAATCAAATCCTAGGACCAAGATTTGGATCGAATGATAGAGATTTACGTACTGGGAGAGATTTAGAGAACGATACAAACCATTCAAAATTTTAGTCAGAAATCAAAGAAGGTAGCGTATTTGAATCCACAACCCAACAAAAAAACAATTCAAAAATATTAACATTAACATATACTACTAATCAAAAACATAAAAAAAAAATCCTAAATAATTACAGATCTGAATGAAAACTTACAGGGAGAGATCCTACATATATACTACTAAGCATTTGAGGATGTTAATATGCGCATAGGGACTAAAACTTACAGATCTAAAAGAAAGCAATCAATCGATCAAATCCAAAGAGAGAGAGTGTGCGATATCGATCAATAGACTAAAAATCAATCGATCGATTGATCGATCTGTGTTCTCTTTAACATAAATTAGTATATATATATATATATATATCACACAGATCTAAGATCGTAGATACAGATCTATGTTCGTATATAAACAAAATCAAAAAATTAGAGAATGAGACTCACAAAATTAATCTTCAAATCGGACTGATCGAGAGCTTTGAGCCAAGATGGAGAGAGTCGGATAGAGAAATCATAAATCGGAGCCTACGATGCTCGATCTAGTGAACTTTCACCATAAGAAAGGGAAGAATGATGAAGAGACAGAACCCTAGATCTATCTCAGGACTAACTGAGAGAAATGAAAAAACGAAAAAATGAAAAATGCTTGGGCCTGGAAAGGGAAAATATGTTGGTTCAAGTAGCACGCGTTTTTCAAAATGAGTTGCTTGTAAAGTATTTTTGAAACAACATTTTTTGAAAAAATGCCATAGCAAAAACGTTGTTATGGCCTAATTTTCTTGTAGTGAATTGACAAAAAAAATTTGTGAATTGATGAAGAAAGATAATGCTGCTCACAATACTAACAAGTTGATTGAGATTGAGTTGGGGTTGATGTATGACATGCTCTTCAGTAAGGTAGGCACAATTTTTACAGTATGTGGAAGCATTCTCAGACTCATTTGCATCTTTTGCATTGTCTGTGTTGGTGGGCTTTTTCTTAGTTAAAAAGCCTGATGGGCATTTGAAAGGTGATCTTCCGATAACCATAATTTTGCTAGTTAGAGCCATTTGTTTAGAAATAGGTGGAGCTCAACTTGGTTCAGATTGGGCAATTGTTTGGGCATGTAAGCATTACCCAAGTGAGTTGGTCACTCAAGTTTTCATCTTCACGAATTTGTGATCACTAAAAACAAAAGATGGCCTGAGGTTATGGGACAATCTGGGTAAAACTTTTGCAACAAATATAAACCGACAAAGTTCAGCCTACCATCGCATAGAGTCGACCTTAGTATCAAAGAACTTATCATCTGTCAGCTTGGTAAGATATCACAGAAAGATTTGGAAGTTGAAACTCCACAGGCTTATACCATTAAAAGAGGTGAGTGGACCCTTGAAAAATATGGATTGGATGCTAATTGGAGTATCAAGCTAGAATTTGGCAAAAGTATTGCCATTTGGCCCGTTGCTACAGACATTTACTATCGTTCAGAACCAGAAAGTTCAAAGTCAGTCCCAAACAAAGTGGAAACAACCAAAATATTGTCATATTACATGATGCATCTTTTGCTTTTTTGTCCTACTTTACCTTTCTGTAACAACAGTGAAAATTTTAAGCAAGCTTATCCTAATGTGGAGAAATTTTTTGAAGAAGCACAGTTTAATGGAGATGCAGGACAAATGGGAGATCATGAGTAATATACGGGTAGAGATGTTGTGCTATGCTGCGAGCTGCTGCTCGGTGAATCACCATGTTCAAGAGCTTAGGCATGGTGGACAGTTTCTCACACGTCTGGCTTCTACTTAAGCACTCGGGTGAACAAAAATGTTGGAGAAAAATGCATCTCAACAATTGAATGACAAAGAAGACATAGAGTCAGAATTAATGGATGTTGTTGAAGATACAGGATGTTGCTTCTGATACCTTTCAAGCCTTGAATAAGTGTCAAATTTCCGGGAGATGAGCTCATGCTAGTTTGAGTCAAAACATTTAGAAATTCTAGTTTCTTGTGTTTTGCAGATGTTTGATGTAGCTTTTGTTGCGTCCCCTAAAGCTTCTAGTGTTTGGCTTTGAGTTTTTTCTTGCTTTTAATTTATGTGGTTTTGTTATGGTGTTAGTTTGCTTTAATTGTAATGGCAAGGCTTCACTTGAATTGCAGTTCTTTGTTGTACTGTTTCATATAATGAATTGATGGTTGCTTGATCCATGTGATAATTTTAAGGTTTCGTATAAGAGTTTGAATTACTTGATCCATGTAACAATTTTGTAAACTTGTAATATATAATTCAATGGTTGCTTTTTAAGCTTATTTTCTCTTAGTACCTACCAAATTGAGGAAATTTTCCGCTTGTGACTTCTGGTACATGTGTAAAAAATATATACTTAATATATAAAAGGGTATCTGAGTGATAATAGGATATGACATTAGGTTAGATAATTGATCATTATAGTGAAAATGATATGATTAATGAAATTATTTGGTGAGAAGGACAATTATTGTTTTGAAGGATTATGGCGCCAAAAAAGGGTTTTTATGGCGCCAAATGCACGCCGTGGATACGATTTCTACGACGCACAAGGTACGTCATATTATGACTAGTCATGGAAAGTCATTCACTTTCAACGACATGCCATAGCATGCCGTTAAAACTTTTAACAATGCATCCTATACGTCATGTTTAATTTTTCTACGACTACTTTTGGACGCTATTAATTCAAGAGACAAATCACAACGCTCATTGCTAGTCATCAAATAATTAACACAACGGCCTATTCTGCCCATCGTAGAATATGTTTAGTTTTTTTTTTTTTTTTTTAATTCAACAGGTTCTATTTCACCTGTTCTATACAATCTAAAAAAACATCACAAATAAGTTTTACAAATATATATATATATATAAGTATCAATCAACTACCAAAATATTATTTCAAACATCAAAAAAACTATTTATAAGTTTCAAACATCCAAAAATTGTCTATACATTACAAATCATCCAAAAACTATGTTTTCTAAACATCAAAAATTGTTCTTAACTTCAAAACCATCCAAAAAGTTCTAAATCTGCCATTAAAACTTTTAACAGCACATCCTATACGTCATGTTTAATTTTTCCAAAAATTGTCTGTGCATTACAAATCATCCAAAAACTATGTTTCTAAACATCAAAAATTGTTCTCAACTTCAAAACCATCCAACTCCATATCTTTATATTAGAAAATTCATAGTAGCTTGGATTTCGTCTTCAAAAGCTTCCCTTCTTAGAGCAACCAAACTTGAAACAACATCAGTAGAAAGAGCACATGTTAGATCATAAGCATGGATAAAATACTCCCCCCCAAGAAAATAAGATAGTGGCTCATACCTGCATGAATTAAACTGATTTGATTACTTCATAATAACAATTATAAAGTTAGCACTTAGCTCTAATTTTTGCCTAGGATAGCTCTAACTCCAACTTCTATAAAATACTCCCTCCCAAGAGAGATTACGAGACTGCCACTGAAACTAACAGTTATGGCTTTGAACAAATTTATTTAATGAGATGGAACGTGCCCAATAGGTGTTCAAGTTGTCTACACTTCCAAATCTTAAAAGATTCAATACATCTGAGAGAACTGTATGATAAAATAAGGCATGTTCTGTTTCATACCATATGGAATAGGAGAACGTATTGTGGAGGTGGTGATCACTTACATTTGCTTCAGCAGCAGGATTGACATTCCCCAATGCAAAGAAAGATCCACCAAGAATAACTACTCTCTTAACCTTGCTTGCAAAGGATGAGTCCCTTTTCATTGCCTAATCAAACAAACGCATGCTTCTTGAGTGTAAAGGGTACACACCCTAAAAATTTGAAGATGCCATTATTGTGACAGTGAACAGAAAGGAAAGATATTAAAACTTACTGAAGCAAAATTCGCCAATGGTCCCAGCGCAAGTATGGATACTTCACCAGGATATTTAGAAACCATATCCACCAAAAATTCTGATGTCGTCTTCTCAATTTTCTTGGATTTTGGAGGAGGTAAGGAAATGTTCCCTAATCCATCAGCACCATGAACGAAGTCTGCAACACGTGGTCTTCCACCCTAATAAAGCACAACACAATTTTGAATCTCCACCTAACTAATGCATTGAAATGTGGGTAGCCCAATATTACCTCCAAACTATACCAATTATAGTCGCATCAAACAACACTCCAGTGCATCCTTAACTGTTCAAAATCAACAAACAATTGCAGAAGTGGAGAATACCAGACATAAGGTAACCTAAAAAAAAAATAGGCCAGATGAAGTATGTGTAATGATAATCACCAATCCATACTGTACCTGGCCTGCCCTTATCGGGCCATCACTGTCTGATGTTAATTGTTCCATTTGAAGTATGCCTAATGTGTAGATTAGATGTTTGAAGGGAACAGCTAGTGTGGAATAAGCCAATGCATGCATCTGTTCAGATAGTAGCAGGTATAATGCACTTGTGGCAACAAGCCTTTCTCAACTCCTAAAATCCAGAGTAGCAATCTGTCTTCACAGTATTCTCTTTACTCCAAAAAAACTAAGCGTGACACTAAAAATATTGGTTTGAAGAAGGAAGTGGTTTTCCCAATTCCAACCCCAATGGTTAGCTCGACAGGTTAGGCTTTGGGAGACACCAAAGGCCCAAGGTCCCCTATTCAAGTCATGGAGCCACCTACAATAGGGCATAAGCCCTATGACTTAACTAAAGTGCGTGGTCTGTGGAGATTATGGTGACTGAGGGAGGTTTATGGTAGATTAGAGGTTCCATCAAGGTTTGCTAAACCATGGGTTCCTCCCCATCCAAAAAACTAAATAAATTTTCCAATGCCCATTCTAAAGTTGCTTTCTCAACCAACTCGCTATCTCAAACAAAAACTCAACATAGTTACAAGTTAGAGCCTCATCTTTCATACGAAGGTTCAAATGCCTAAGAAAAGGGAGCTTGTGATAGGTACACAACTAATGTACACTAGAGTAAAACGTTCGTAATCTCAAAGGTCAAGAAAGTGATTGTAGACTGAGTAAAATGGTGTTAAAGGATTCATTAAACTAATCCCTAGTAGTTTATAGTCTTCATTCAGTTGAATCTGAGTTGTGTAAAAATCTAAAAAACATATGATGACGCAATAAAAAGTAAAGAATTGAAATGATAATTTGTGTTGGTCACCTACCCATCAGAATCCTTCTACCTCTTGGAGGGAAGCACCTATCACGCTTTCACCAAGATTAGCAATCTAGGAAGCTACAACACAAATCACAGCCTCGGGTCCATTTATCTGTTTTCCAATTATTTTTTCAAGAGAAGGAAAAATACAGATTTGGTCAGATATCTTATGAAGATGTAAACATAAAAGTGCCTGTTGAAAGATTCTAATGACACAAAGCTTAAAAAAAACAGACAATCAGAATGAAAGTTCTGACCATCTTAATGCTGTTTTAAGTTTTGTTCATAAAGGAGACAAGCAAAGTGAAAAAAGAGAAAAAGATTGAAAGAATGTGGGGGGAATGAAAGTCGAATATTTAGAATTGTAAAAACAAAGAGAATTTATTATACCTCACCCATCAGATAACCAACGAAAGAAAGGAGAATTGATGCTAAAAGTCCAGCAACGGTTCCCTCAACACTAACAGCTCCTTCGGTTCCCCTTGGAACTATCTTTGATGCTAAAAGTCCAGCAACGGTTCCCTCAACACTAACAGCTCCTTCGGTTCCCCTTGGAACTATCTTAAATGTCGTGACTCGTGACTAGATACCTGCATTAAAAGCAGCAATTTTAAAGCATGCACACCATATATAGTTATTTCATTGAACATTTTATAGGAGGTCATTAATGCTTGGATACCATGACGGAATTGACAAAGAAAACTTGAAAGGCTCCTGGGATACACAGATAAATTTTAACTGAGAAACTCATAGAACCAGAATATAACCTGGAGAATGCATCTACAGTAAATCAAGTATCATGTCGATGACTCCAAAATTCAAAACACACATTTTCTACTAACTTGAGGTGCAAATAGCATACTTTAGGATAGATAAATCTCTTAAGACGCTACACATGCTTCCTAGGATAAATCTCAACCATTTAAAGCATTTGACACAAATCACCGTCCTCAACTGGACCAAAAATCAATCCCAGGAGTAGAATTTGTGGGCTCCCTTCAACATACGAATTGCAATAATTTTAGCTTCCGTTATTCAAGATAGAATCCAGTGTATGTAATACTAACATATAAAGAATCCAGTGTATGTAATACTAACATATAACTGGCAGTAGTCTCATCAAAATCTCAACCATCAATCAAAACTCAACACAACTTTTAAGTTATCATGTGGCAGGATGGGAACCTAATATAGCATGATAGATCACCTAATAACAAATTTTATGCACAATAATAACAACAATGGTTTTATAACCATACCAGCCTATAAAATTTACTGCCATAAATGAGAATCCTAAAAAAACCTAGGAAACCACAAGTTAAAAGATGCACCACTTACGTTGTTTTTCCATATGCTTTTCCTATTTCACTTGAGACAGTATCACTCAATTTAGTACAGAAACTGCAGATAGCTTGTGATTTAATTCCATTTAATCTAATTAACACAAGCTTGTTAGAAACTACATAGTCACGTCATCGCATTCAAACCACCAGTAGAGAGGCTGTTTGTCTTTGAGCAGCAGCTTCTTCATCATCATAGGCACCTGAATTACCAACACCAAAATAAAATAAGAGCCACTAAGTGACCATATTCCTAGAAATAATTACGAAAAAAAAAAAAAAGCAACTATATTAATTGGAACATACCAAGATAGACTGCATCATTTCATTAGGATTCCACAAAACCAGCACCAACAATGCAATAAGCAGAAAAAAATCGATAAAATTGCTATAAAGATATGTCTATGAAGAAATATATATATATATATACATAATATGAGGAGAGAAGTGATATTGAACCTTGTCTTCCTTTCTTGTTTTGTGATTCATTCCAGCAATTCTTGTCCCACAAATGAGCTTCATACCTTCCTGTCCATGATGCCTTGAGCAATCACAATAACAGTAGCCATTTAAGTAAAGCAAAAGAAGACCATTAATGGGACTGAAACTACAGTATTAAATTTGAACCAAATAGGAAATCAATTTCTAGTAATTACCAAAATAACCAGGGGGGAAAGAAGCTGGTTATCCTTGAAGGAAGACACATGCATAAATTTGCTATCCTTATTCTTCAATCTCAGAATAAATTTCGTAATCATCCATCTGGAAAAACTACCAATTGGAAAAAAAAAAAAAAAACAAACAACAAACAAACAAACAAACACAAAACACAAAAGGAGAGAAAGAGAGAAAGAGATTGAGATTGAGATTGAGATTAAGATTGAGAGGCAGATTGTTTGAGAGAGAGAGAGAGAGAGAGAGAGATGGAGATTGCAAGATACCTGATGTGGTTTCAACTTTGGCAAAAGTAGCGGCCCTGATAGCAGAAGCACGGAGGTGAAGACGATGCAGGTGGCTCACTGGTGGTCACGGTGGCGCAATGGCAACAGTGAAAAGCTGTGGGGTGGAGAAGAAACAGAGCATTACAGAGTAAAGTGACGAAGAGAGAGACACTACAGAGATACTAGTATATGGAAGGGTATGGTTTTTTTTAGATTGATACTAGGGCTCAAGAGTTGGGGTTTTGATAAAAAAGAGAAAAAGATTGAAAGAATGTGGAGGGAATGAGAGTCGAATATTTAGAATTGTAAAAACAAAGAGAATTTATTATACCTCACCCATCAGATAACCAACGAAAGAAAGGAGAATTGATGCTAAAAGTCCAGCAACGGTTCCCTCAACACTAACAGCTCCTTCGGTTCCCCTTGGAACTATCTTAAATGTCGTGACTCGTGACTAGATACCTGCATTAAAAGCAGCAATTTTAAAGCATGCACACCATATATATTTATTTCATTGAACATTTTGTAGGAGGTCATTAATGCTTGGATACCGTGACGGAATTGACAAAGAAAACTTGAAAGGTTTGTACAATATTAAAATAATGTTTTTTCCTGGGATACACAGATAGATTTTAACTGAGAAACTCACAGAACCAGAATATAATCTGGAGAATGCATCTACTGTAAAACAAGTATCATGTCGATGACTTCAAAATTCAAAACACACATTTTCTACTAACTTGAGGTGCAAATAGCATCCTTTTAGGATAGATAAATCTCTTAAGATGCTACTCATGCTTCCTAGGATAAATCTCAACCATTTAAAGCATTTGACACAAATCACCCTCCTCAACTGGACCAAAAATCAATCCCAGGAGTAGAATTTGTGGG